TCTCTCTCTCTCTCTCTCTCCTCCGCAACCTCATGGAAGGAAAGAAGAGAGTTAAGGACAAGGAGGAGGAAGGAGGTGAATGAAGAAAAAAAGAAGAGGAGGAGGAGGAGGAGGAGGAGGAGGAGGTGGAGGAGGAGGAGGAGGAGGAGGAGGAGGAGGAGGAGGTGGACCATAAGCAAGAGAGCGTAATAAGGTGTACAATAGAGTCTTATGGTCGACCAGGAACTGAGGATATAAGAGGTGGGAGAGAGAGTAGTAATCCTTGAGGACATCCACTTGGCTTCGCTTGGGAACACACACACACACACACACACACACACACACACACACACACAACACACACACACACACACACACACACACACACACACACACACACACACACACACACACACACACACACACACACACACACACACACACACACACACACACACACACACACACACACACACACACACACACACACAGAACGTAAGAGTTGAAATATATACTGTGCAGTTTTTCTTCCCGGGGACAGAGGGCTCTTAGGTAGTAAGCAGATTAACTACTATGGGATTGCAATAGGAAAAAAAAGACTAAATTACTGTCGGGCGGGTTGTGTGTCGTGGGCGGGATGTGTGTGTTTTGTGGGCAGTTGTTCGTGTTATTGTCGTGGGCAGGTTTGTGTCGTGGGCAGGTTGTGTGTGTCGTGGGCGGGTTGTGTGTGTCGTGGGCGGGTGTGTGTCGTGGGCAGGCTATTGTGTCGGGCGGTTGTGTGTGTGTGGGGGTTGTGTGTGTCGTGGGCGGGTTGTGTGTGTGTCGTCGTGTGTGTCGTGGGCGGGTTTTGTTGGATTTTTGTGTTTCCGTCGTTCAGCTTCCACCCACTTGATGGATGACGTCACTGGCGCCGCCCACTCGCCACCCGACTCCCTCCCTCGCCACCCACTTCACACAGCAAAGGCAACAAGTGATTCATTCTTGGTACATCACCTGAATATTAGACACCCCAGCTTATTCCACCTTAAGCTCAAACACCCAGCTTATTCCACCTGAAAATTAGATACACTCCAGCTTAATCCACCTGAAGATTACACACCCCAACTTCACCCTTAGATTAGACACCTCTAATTTGTTTCACCTGAAGTTTGAAGGTAAGACACAGACACCGCCCTGAGTCTTGACATCAACATTAAAGTTCCTAAAATAATCGGTGTTCTCAAAGACAGAATTAATGGCGGCTCAAGAGAGGACACGATATATTTATTTTTCTTCAGTGGCCACGAGACTTTGTGGTGGGAGGGCGCCGGCCACGGGATTTGTCGGGGCTTGTAATGGTTAGGGTGTGGTGTAGTGTGGTGTGGTGTGTGGTGGTGGGTGGTGTGATTTAGAGTGTGGTATGGTAAGGTGTAGTGTGGTATGGTGTGGTGTGGTGGGTAGTGTGGTGTGGTGGTGTGTGGTGGTGGGTGGTGTGATTTAGAGTGTGGTATGGTAAGGTGTAGTGTGGTATGGTGTGGTGTGGTGGGTAGTGTGGTGTGGTGGTGTGTGCTGGTGGGTGGTGTGATTTAGAGTGTGGTATGGTAAAGTGTGGTATGGTGTGGTGGGTAGTGTGGTGTGGTGGTGTGTGCTGGTGGGTGGTGTGATTTAGAGTGTGGTATGGTAAGGTGTAGTGTAGTATGGTGTGGTGGGTAGTAGTGCGTGGTATTATGTGGTGTGTGGTAGTGTAATGGTATAGTGTAATGGCATCATAGCCACTAACACTGACACAGAGAGGAAAGGGAAGGGCGGAGGCGACAATTGGGAAGAATCCACAGGCAAAGCGGGCATGACGTACGCTGATTGGTCCTCGTCGGCGATGACGTCCACTAGCCACACCTATAGGAAGGACAATAGGGGCAGCCATGGCGAACGAGAGCCAATCAGCGCACGGCATGTCACAGTTAGCTTGGATTTTCATTGTTAACGACCTGGGACAACTACCAATACACACCCACACACACCTGACATACATCACACAGGTCAATTAACACACCTACACACATGACATATACACGATTACACGGGTCAACTAACACACCTACATACACACGGGTCACCTAACACACCTGACATACACACGGGTCAACTAACACACCTACATACACACGGGTTACCTTACACACCTGACATACACACGGGTCACCTAACACACCTGACACACACGGGTCACCTTACACACCTGCCATACACACGGGTCACCTAACACACCTGACACACACGGGTCACCTTACACACCTGACATACACACACGGGTCAACTAACACACCTACATACACACATACACAACTAACACACCTACATACACACACGGGTCACCTAACACACCTGACACACACAGGTCACCCACACCCATACACACGGGTCAACTAACACACCTGACACACACACGGGTACACACCTGACATACACACAGGTCACCTTACACACCTGCCATACACACGGGTAACACACCTGACATACACAACACACCTGACACACACACGGGTCACCTTACACACCCTGACATACACACGGGTCACCTAACACACCTGACACACACGGGTCATACACACCTGCCATACACACGGGTAACACACCTGACACACACGGGTCACCTAACACACCTGACACACACGGGGTCTAACACACCTGACACACACACCACACACCTGACATACACACAGGTCACCTAACACACCTGACACACACGGGTCACCCCACACCTGCCATACACACAGCACACCTGACACACACACGGGTCACCTTACACACCTTACACACCTGCCATACACACGGGTCACCCACACACCCATACACACGGGTCACCTAACACACCTGACACACACAGGTCACCTTACACACCTGCCATACACACGGGTCAACTAACACACCTGACACACACACGGGTCACCCACACACCTGACATACACACGGGTCACCCACACACCTGACACACAGGTCACCAACACACCTGCCACACACGGGTCAACTAACACACCTGACACACACTACCTACACACCTGACATACACACGGGTCACACACACCTGCCACACACACAGGTCACCCACACACCTGACATACACACAACTAACACACCTGACACACACGGTCATACACACCATACACACGGGTCCACACACCTGACACACACACGGGTCACACACACCTGACATACACACGGGTCAACTAACACACCTGACACACACAGGTCAACACACACACACGGGTCACCTTACACACCTGCCATACACACGGGTCACCTTACACACCTGACATACACACGGGTCACCTTAACAGATATAGGTGAACGAGTGACACAACAAGAGCCATAATTTCCTTCAACCTTTAAAAAACCTCCCAAATAAATTATACCAGCCCCTATAATTTACATATTTATTTACGAATGATTGAATCCGTATAATGCATCCATTACTACAACGAATATCATCCTATATAACGTAATTTAACATTGTTTCTATGTGAGTTGATTGGTGGAGCAGCTGTCGGTGTTTGAAGGCGTGGCGTTGTCTACGACTTTGGCTTAATGTTTAAATAAAATAAAAACTAAAGTAATTCCTGGTAGTTTTATTTTTCCTCTGGTAGTGTCGAAGTTATTGTGGAAAATATATATATATACTTTTGATCATCATTCAAATAAAACTCTCTCTCTCTCTCTCTCTCTCTCTCTCTCTCTCTCTCTCTCTCTCTCTCTCTCCAGTATGTCTCACTACCAAACAATAATACACTGAAGGAGAAGAAGAAGAAGAGGAGAACAAGAACAACAATAATAACAAAAACGAGAAAGAAGGGGAAGACGAGGAAGAGGGAGAAAAAAAAAAGAAGGCGAGGAGGAGGAAGAGGAAGAACAGGAGGGCCACCTAACAAGGAGAATTTAGTGGAAGGACCAGTAAAGTCAACTCAACATCAAGATAACGAGGGGGAGTTTTTTTTTAGGCCGGATATTCCCTGCTGTTATCTTCCCTGCTTCTGCTACCTTCCCTACTTGTGTTATCCTAGTTGCATCTTTCTGCCCATACCTACCCTGTGTGAGAGAGAGAGAGAGAGATGGTGGGGACCTCTCTCCCGCTCCACATCCATTACGTCATCATTGTATCCACGACCTCATCATCACTAAGTCCATGACGTCACCAGAGCTCTCTTCAACAAAACAATCCGTGACGTCAACAAGAGCACAACGTGACGTCAGTAGCTGTAGCCATGACAACATCACAGACGGGAGATGTTGCCACTGAAACTACCCATAATACCAGCAGACAGTAACCTTAATACCAGCAGACCGTAGTCCTAATACCAACACAGTACCCCTAATACCAGCAGACCGTAGTCCTAATACCAGCAGACAGTACCCACACTACCAGCAGACAGTTCCCATAATGGCAGCAGAGTGGGGTCATAAGAACAAGCAGTATCCATAACATAAGCAGGAGTGAGGGGCCATAACCACCAGCAGGTAGCACTTATGAGGAGAGTGAGCAGGGGGGAACACAGAAGGAGGGAACACACCTTGGGGAGGGGAACACACTTTGAGGGGACACAGAAGGAGGGAACAGACCTTGGAGAGGGGAACACACTTTGGAGGGACACACGGAGGGGAACACACAGGGAGGGAACACACTGTGCGGAGAGGGGACACACAGCCTTGCCACTGCCTGTCTTCCTCCACAAGGCCACACCAGTTGCGGGCGTTTACCTAGCAATAAATAATGGTGATTGGGGTAGTGTGCGGGCCGTGGGGTCAGGGGTTCAGTACACTGCCTCGTGCTGCAACACACACACACACACACACACTACCCATATCCCTACCTGAAGATTAGCTCCCCCAATTCACCTTAAGAGTAACCACACTAATGCTAATCTAACCCTAACCTAACCCCCCTCCTCCACCCCTACAGGTAGCGTCAGGGTTAATTAAGCTACGGTGGGCTAATTATCAGGTGACCTCCCAACCCTCACACTGGGACTTATTAAGATACACAAGACTTACACAGATGATGATAATAATCGGTCCAGTGTGATGGAAGATGATCCAGTGTGATGGGAGGTGATCCAGTGTGATGGAAGATGATCCAGTGTGATGGGAGGTGATCCAGTGTGATGGGAGATGATCCAGTGTGATGGGAGATGATCCAGTGTGATGGGAGATGATCCAGTGTGATGGGAGATGATCCAGTGTGATGGGAGGTGATCAGTGTGATGGGATGGAAGTGATCCAGTGTGATGATGATCCCAGTGTGATGGAGATGATGTGTGATCCAGTGATGATCCAGTGTGATGGGAGATGATCCAGTGTGATGGGAGATGATCCAGTGTGATGGGAGATGATCCAGTGTGATGGGAGATGATCAGTGTGATCTGATCAGTGTGATGGAGATGATCCAGTGTGATGGGAGGTGATCCAGTGTGATGGGAGATGATCCAGTGTGATGGGAGATCAGTGTGATGGGAGTGATCCAGTGTGATGGGAGATGATCCAGTGTCATGGAGATGATCCAGTGTCATGGGAGATGATCCAGTGTGATGGGAGGTGATCCAGTGTGATGGAAGATGATCCAGTGTGATGGGAGGTGATCCAGTGTGATGGAAGATGATCCAGTGTGATGGGAGGATGATCCAGTGTGATGGGAGATGATCCAGTGTGATGGGAGATGATCCAGTGTGATGGGAGATGATCCAGTGTGATGGGAGATGATCCAGTGTGATGGTGATGGGAGATGATCCAGAGATGATCCAGATGTGATCCATGGGAGATGATCCAGTGTGATGGGAGGTGATCCAGTGTCATGGGAGATGATCCAGTGTCATGGGAGATGATCCAGTGTGATGGGAGGTGATCCAGTGTGATGGGAGGTGATCCAGTGTGATGGGAGATGATCCAGTGTGATGGGAGGTGAGAGGGTTTTAAAGGTAAGACCCAGACAGCCAGGTATTAAAAGGTTTAGTGAAGGTTGGTGGTAAAAGCAATATAGGCGGCAGACTGCAGGGTGATTGTGTAGGTTAAGGAGAGGCGGCGGTAGTCTCTAGAGCAACACGGACGGACGGACGAGAGAGAGAGAGAGAAGCTAAAAGTGAAGGGGGGTGAAACAGACATGAAGATAGCTATATAAGGGAAGGAAGGGAAGAGATAATAAAGAAAAAAGCTAAAGGAAGGAAGGAAGGAAGGGGAGAAAGAAAGAAAGAAAGAAAGAAAGAAAGAAAGAAAGAAAGGAAGGAAGGAAGGAAAGAAGAAAAAATGGAGGAATGAAGGGAGGAAGGAAGGAGACACACACACACACACAAGGATAAACGATATATAAAGGCATAATGGGAATTGAATCCACTTTAATTACACGGAGAGACAAAGATTGAGAGAAGCATGATTAAGAACACGTCAAGATGGTGGAGGTGTTTTGAAATACTAAAATATCACAGTCCTCTCCCCTCCTCTCTCATCATCTTCCTCCTCTCCTCCCCTGTCCTCTCTCATCTTATCTCCCTCCTTTCCTTTCCTTTCATCTGCTCTCATCTCCCTCCTCTCCTTCGCCTACAGATCGTCCTTGGGTGTTGCTGGCGAGGATGAAACACACACACACACAGGTAACGGATGATCCACTCTTTTAGGCTAACGGTACATTACCACACGGGGCGAATACTACTACACCTTACCTGGGGATAACTCGTACAGGTGTTAACAAGAGGATCCGTATAAGGGGTGTGTGTGTGTCCTTCCTCCTTCTCCTCTCCCTGCCTCCTCTCTTCCTTCCTCCCTACCTCCTCTCTTCCTTCCTCCCTTCCACTCCTCTTCCTCCCTGGCCTGGCTGACATACATTTATGTTCTCATTTGTCTATTCTCTTTGTCTCTCTGCTTATTGTTTTTTTTTATCTACGCTTTCTCTTCGTTCCTGTGTGGTGGTGTATAGTTTTGTCTTGGTCGGTGTGCTATGCCATCTACTACTACTACTACTACTACTACTACTACTATTACTTTTTTTAACGTGGCCTCCAGCCTCCCCCAATAGCCACACCTTCGCCACCATTTAATTACCTTAATATTAAATATCCTAATACATAAGTAGCTATCCTATCTGTGTTGAGTTAGTTGCGCCGCAGATCTATGATGCTACTGCTGCTGCTACTACTACTACTACTACTACTACTACTACTACTACTACTACCACTATCAATATTCTACATGAGTGCGACAACATTGCACTCTGTATCAGCTGAATGACCTTTGTATGACCCTCAATGACGTGGGTTGTGACCTTTTCTCCACCTGTCCTGTCGCTTGACCTGGGGGGGTCGGGGGGGGCAGATTACCTTTGATGTGCGTGAGAGAAAATGTGGGTGTGTGTGTGTGTGTGTGTGTGTGTGTGTGTGTGTGCGTCATTACAAGGTGTATTATCTACCTACCCCAACAAACACACACACACACTTAAAATCTGATCCCCAAAAATGCCCCCCAATATGACTCGCCCCGTGATGGGGTATTTAACAGTGTGCCTGACTTTACTGTACACTCACCAGACCAGCACGGCAAGAGTTAAGAGCAGCATCACACCAGACAACACTGACACTCTTTGTACACCAACTACACCTCGTATTGTGGGGGGTGACTCTTGTGTACCTAGTGTTGGGGGGTGGGGGGTGATGGTGGTGGGGGGTGATGGTGGTGGGGGTGATGGTGGGGGGTGATGGTGGGGGGTGATGGTGGGGGGTGATGGTGGGGGGGTGATGGGGGTCTCTCTCTCTCTCTCTCTCTCTCTCTCTCTCTCTCTCCCACAGACCCAGTGCACCATAGTGTTTTTGCTGAAGGAATACGACCATAATTGTGGAGGAGAAATCTCTTGTTTTGTTAAGCACCAGCTGACGTCACGGAGAGTTCCCCACCCACCAGGCAGTAAGGGCGATTATGTAGTTAGTACAATCTACAGCCTCGTTGAAGATAATGTCCCCCCACACACGAGCTCATACCACTGAATGACCTGACCTTGATATTATATTCTACGTCAACAACAACAAGTTTAAATGAAAAATGGCGACCAGCAAAACATACATACATACACTATTACACACACACACACACACACACACACACACACAAAGACAATTATACTTCCCGTCAAAACTATAAGACTTCACTCAGCTCAAGAGAGTAAAATGATGGTAGCAACAAGAGATGACGTCACGATACACCTTCACACAATCATATTTCAACTTTGTGGACAACTGGAGGAGAAAGTTTGGCGATATTGAAACTTTGGATAAGAGAGAGAGAGAGAGAGAGAGAGAGATAACGTTACGGTGGTTATTCTTTGGGTAGAATAAATCGGGGTGTCTAATATTCAAGTGATCCATATTACTATAAATATGTACGTATGTATTATATAAATGAATGAATGTATGTAAATATGTATAGTATAAACCCTAGATTAACTTGATCACATTTCCTGGATTATGTAAACCACAGATTTACCTTTTTCCCCACATTTTAATTAGCATCACCTGCCGGCACCTTTTTCCCCGTTACAAACAATTTTTCCCCTCGACTCCAACTCTCACTTTATGACCACAACGCACACTACTGTATATATATATATATGAGAGAGAGAGAGAGAGAGAGAGAGAGAGAGAGAGAGAGAGAGAGAGAGAGACAAATGCAGATAGATAGATAGATAGACATTCTCTATAACTAAAGACACATCAGTAATACCACCACCCACTCCACTCAAACTAAATCTATTCCAACATTTTTAAGGTGTGATGGAAAGAGAGAGGGTGAGAGGGGAGGTTAGGTGAGAGGGAGAAGGGGAAAGAGGGAGGGAAGAGCGACGGGGAAGAGAAGAGGAAGAAACAGAGGGGATAGGGGTAAGGAGAGGGAGGGGGGGATGGAGGAGAGAAAGGGAAGAGAGGAGGAGAGTGGAATGAGGAGGGAGGGGTAGGGGCAGGTGAGGAATGTCCTTTGGGAGTCGAAAACTACCTTACTTTTTCACAAAGTTTGCTTATTGTAATGCAAAATACGCACCAGCCTCATTACGAACATAAAAAAGTGTATATACCTTCAGGAGATTAACTACCGTGTGTGTGTGTGTGTGTGTGTGTGTGTGTGTGTGTGTGTGTGTGTGGCTATGATAAACACCTTGAATCACCTGAAGACTCTCCACCCCAGCTTACTTGACCTGAAGTTTAACCACCCTAACACTATTGGGGGGAATAGGTTAGCGTCAGGACAGGTTAATCTCTAGGTGAAACACGTTAGGGTGGAGATTCTTCTGTCACAAGTGGTATACATCATCTTCAACTCCTACAACATTAAATTGTGTTGTTTCGTGGCGGCCACAACAAAACACACAACATAAACATTTGTATTTTCAAAGGGTAAACATCTCAACCGTGTGACCTCGTAAGTAAACATGGCTCCCCCACCCCTTCCTTCTGGTCCTACCCCCCCCGTCCCCCTCCCTCCTATCCCTACCCCCTCCTTCCTTATCACTCCTATCCCTCCCTTCTATCCCTATCTCCCCCCACCTATCTCTACCTCCTCCCCCCGTCTTGTAAACATAACCAATCCCCGGGGCGGAAATTAGAGTCAAGATTTAGTGAGGGTGAGTAGCTAGTCCGGGTAGTCCAGCAGCCAACCTTCACGACGACCCACCCTCCACCCACACACACATACAACCACGCCAACAAAACACTAAAAAGGGTGAAAACAAACACGGTGACAGCATCAATACGACCTCCGCAAACATACAAATACACACAACCATGGCGACAGCATCAAGACCCTCCCCCACACACACACACACACACACGACAACCACGGCAGCGACAGGAAAGACCCCCACCTACCAACCACGGCGATACTAAAAAAACTGGGTAAAAAAAACAAACACGACAACCACAGCCACCTTATTCTTTTTAACTGGTGTGCCATCCCCTCCACCCACCCATCTTGCCTATCAGATGAATGGTGTGTGTGTGTGTGCTGCTGTTGTATCGATCTACCCAACTCAAGAGTGACGGGGAGGGTGGGGGGGAGGTGAAGGGGGAACATCGCCCACCTCACCTCCAGCGTTTCCTTAACTATAACCTCATCTATATATGCTGGTACACTACCCCCCCTCAGTATGCAACAGTCCTTCCCACCACCACCACGTATTCTCTTCTTCTCTCTCACCGCCTTTTCCTCTTCCACTCCTACCACATCCCCCTCTCTCCCCACAGTCTCCCCCTCCTCCCGCCTCCTCCTCCTCTCTCCCACCGTCTCCTCCTCCCCTCTCTCTCTCACGCCTCCTCCTCTCTCCCACCGTCCTCCTCTCTCCTCCTCTCTCTCCACGCCCCCTCTCTCACCCTCCCCTCTCTCTCACGCCCCCCCTCCTCCTCTCTCCCCTACCACCTCTTCTTCCGTCACCATCTAAATTCAATGCAAGAGACACGCACATATATACATTCTTTACCCATATTACCTCCCAGTGCCTCTTCCTCCCGTTCAGTACCATCCTAAACGCTATGAGTCTATTATCATTGGACGGGAGGCGGGAAAAAACTATGGCTGTGTATGAGTGTTTCTGCCTTCACCTGGACACGTTCTGAGAGAGAGAGAGAGAGAGAGAGAGAGAGAGAGAGAGAGAGAGAGAGAGACCTCAAAGCTTCCTCTGTCTCATCACAACAAACTTTAAAAATACCTTTACACGGTCTGCTTTGGTTTGGTTAGGTCAGGTCAGGTCAATGATGAACTTGCTTTATTACACCTGGGTAAATAATCA